ACCCCACAGAGTAGTCTGGCTTTGTTGGAATAGCAACCCTTAACACAAACAAACTGTTTTCTATTGGAGACATAATGTTTTAAGCACTCATATGTAGTATCATGAAAACCATATTTATACAGCTTTTCCAGTAAAATATGATGGTTAACTGGATCAAAAGCTTTTGGCAAGTCTATGAAAATACTACAAGTAAATTCATTGTCCATCCAGTGAAGCAGAGCCATATAAGTGGAGTGATTTTTTTCTGGAAACCATACCAGTTTCTGAATAAAGAATTGAATTAGAATCTAGATGAAAAAGAATCCTTTTGTATATAATTTTTTTCCTAATGTTTTTGAATAACATGGCAAAATAGATATAGGACTATAGTTAGTAAAACATCGTGGATCATCTGCTTTAAGCAGATGAATAACTTTAGCTACTTTTAAATCCTCTGGCACTACGCCTGTTTTCGAAGATAAAGAAAAGATGTGAACAAGTGGCTGCAATAAAGATTGTTTCACCTGCTTGACAAGGAATACAGAAATATTACCATGACCAGCTGAAGATTATGTCAGTTATTTCTTCAAAGCCCCTTCAAGCTGCTTAAAAAAATAATAGGAAAATTTCTTGGTATATAATCCAATGGTTTACCATGATAAGCAGAATTTTGATTAACCAATTCATAACCAATATTAACAAAAAATTCTTTAAATTTTTGACCTATGCCAAATGGATAGGAAACCAACTGTAAACCAAGGCTTATTGAAGTCTTGACTGTATTTCTTGATAGAACTGCCAGTTGGAAAGCAGTCATTAAAACTAGAGCTGATAACTCTCATACAGTTCTGATATGCAAAATCAGCATTATGTTCCTCATATAGATCATCCCATGAACTACTAGCAAGCATATCTTTAAATTCCGAAATATTTGACTTGCTCATAATTCTCTTTTGCCATATTTTTTTGGTATGTTCAGCTCTATTAACCTCGATTAATGAATAATGAAATACGGGGAAATGATCTGACAAGTCTAAATACAAGACCCCATTTCATTCCTTCACTTAACGAATTAGTTAAAACGTTATCAATCAAAGTTGCTGAATTCTCTTTAACTCGTGTAGATTTATGAAAAAGAGGAAGAAAGAAACTAGAATAAAGAATATTACGAAAATCCCCAGTGAGGGTATCTAATTTATTTTTTAAAAATTATATTGAAATCACCTAAAATATAACAAAATCAGGAGTATGGAAAAAAGATCCTTGAGGCTAGAATCAGGTGGTCAGTGAATAACACCAACAATAACATGCTTTCCCCTAGAGACACCAGAGAGCTCTACAAATACAGATTCCACCTCAGCTCTATCTGACTTTAGAGAAAAATCATCCCTAATTTTAAATTCATAATCACCATGAGTAAACAGAGATACTCCACCTCCGGATCTGTTCTCTCTTACATAGTGAACTGAATTATATTTAGGTAATTTAAAGACTTCTCTAGAGTTCTCTGGATGCAATATGAGCTAATTCTGCTCTTGATGTCTGCAGTTTAATTGATTCTAAGACTTGGCCATGTAAATGGTCATCTAATAAATTTAACAAAATAAATGTCATTTTAAAAAAGTCCTTAAGATGATGAGAAGGATTTACCAAAGGTTACGTGATAAGGGAAGGTCAATGAGGATGGGTTAATGACAGTTTTGAAAAGCAATCCCAGACCCCAGCAATCCCAGGATCACTGAACCTGTGTTGAACTGCACTTAACATATTCTCTCTAAAAAATGCTCATGAGCTAACCTTGAGACTGCCATAGCTTTGAGGGAACGTTATAGCTCAATCCCAAATCCCTTACTATTGGACAAGTTGTCAATTCACAGCCCCTACGGGTTGCCAATATTTAGCTTATGGTTGTTCTGAGTTCTTGAGACATTTGGAGAACTGTCCTTGAAATTAAATCTATTAAATCTATCTAGCCATTAGGAACGTAATAGAATATGAATACATTGTTCAGGTTGCACAGGTAATGTCCTCTAAACACACATACAAACAGGAGGCGCATGATCCTTTTTTTTATTTGAACAAAAACTTTCCAGAAAGGTTCATCTTAGCAGTAGATGATTTGAATAATAAAAATAATAATAACAATAATAAATGTAGCTTATGTCTTCTGTTCAGATAGGCTATATTAACATCAGGGTGAAACATAAAAAAATCATATAAATAATCTAAATAAATCAAGTAAATAAACTATAATAACAAACAAGCCACTATACCCCCCTAAAATGGGATTGTTCACTGAAATTGGTGATTGAAAATAAAATAGGAGGTTGCTATAATTTAGTGTTTCTGCCATATCTGCTAATCTACATATGACCATATGTATGACATGACCCAGTGTATAATAATATGAATAAAGAGTTAAAATGAAAAAAGAGCATATATTTTTAGCAGGTTAGAAGTCATTTATGTCGCAGAACGTTAGAAAGCATGATATAAAGTATTATTTGCATAATTTATTTCACCAAAGTGAACATACATGTCACAAGTTGATACCAGAAGAAAGCATACATTTTGATTACAATTCAACATTACTTAAAAAGAAAGTGTTTTAAATGGCTCAGTGGGATGCACACCAGCAATAACAGCAACAAATTATATTACTGGTTCTTGAAAAAAAAATGCTTTTTCAATATTTTTTGGAGAGGAGAGACACCAGTCTGTTAAAAGCAGAATTTCCAGGGTTTCATAGATAGATGATGGAGATAGAGGTCTTGATGAAGATGCCTAAAGATGGTGGTTCTGTGCTCCAGTACCTTCACGAAATGTTCTGTACAGGTCTTTGATCTGTGTCATCTGCCATTGCATTTCCAGTCCTCTCACTGTTCTGGCACCAAACTCTGATCCTGTCGGGCTTTTAGAGCCAAAATGGCTTTTCTGTAAAGATCTACCAGGAAACAGGCAAATTAGATGATTTATTCTGCTGAGATTCTAGATCAGAGATGCTCACCCAAGAATTTGACTTGTGTGGTGGTCTAGGAAAACCCACTGAAAGTCATGTTGGCTGAATTAGGACATACAGCCAAAAGTGAAATACAGTTCGACAGATAAAAAAACTGTCAAAGCCTGTAATTACTTAAATAAGAAAAGTGCTTATACGCCCTGTACAGGTTTTAAGTAAAGAACCATTAATGTAGTTAATGATTTAGATATAGTCCCCCCAAAAATGCTAAATCAGTGTCTCCTCACAGAAAGTTTCACCACATCGACAATGATAACATCACATAGCATCTTTGCTTTCAGCTAATGTATGTTAGCTAAGTAAACGTAACTCTGTTAATGAAATCTGCTGTGGTGGGCCATGTGGCTACACATGCTAGCTAACTAACGTATAACTGCACTCAACTGTTTTAGCTACATAGCTGGTGACATGACAGTCTAAGACTAGATCACAGATTATCCATTATATCGGTGACTACATTTTTTTTTATCCTATGTTATAACAGCTACAAACTAGCACTAATAGTGGTAGCTACTGCTGAGTACTTGTCTACAAGCATTTGTTTACAATGAGGATGAGGCAAGGGAGTAAGCCCAGGAGAGTGCACCGAGGTCAGCCACGAAGACTTTAGCCATAAATGGAGCTCCAAAGTCGGCTAAAATGACTGAATTCTGCAGCCTCATTCTAGGGCAATGTAGTTAGTGGGGCTGGTGTCATTTGCAAGCTACTAAAGAGCTCTTTTTAACTGTGGCAAGTGTCAGTGATTGCGATCCAGAGCTATTAGGTTTCACGGTTGTTTCACATGCAGATGATTCAAGGTTTGGCAATGGTACAGTTTCACCATGAAAGAATACAATCCCATGACCAGCATATTGTTTTCTCTCTCTTTTTTTGTCTTTATCTCCTTCTTTGCATTTTTTTGGTGAATGAGTTGTGATTGACTGGAATTGTGCTTTTATCCAAGACAGTGTATATTCAATGCGACTTACCAAAAGTGGCAGAGAGATCAGCAGGCTGTCTATAATTTACAGGAATTTCTTCTGTGTTTATCCTGTTCTTTCGCTTTCCTGTCACCACTTTTTTCTTTTTCTTGTTTTGTCCATTACCTGCTGTAGCAGTATGAAAATGAAGTCAGCCCATCATTGCCTATTATCTACGTGAAATGATTCTAAAGTGTTATATTGAGCAGAATACCTTTAGAGGGTTTGGACTCCTGGGACTCTGGATGATCCAAAGTCTCCACTTTTGCTTTGGGTTTCAGCCTCCCACTTCTTTGTGGCACCAGTTCATGACTGGCTTTCTCCTTTTGACTGTTACCATCCTGATCTGCGTTAGTTCCTTCTGCTTCTTCTTCCTTCTGTTCGGTATCTACTTCTTCATTTTTGCTCCCTTTTTTCACACTTATTGCTTTAATCTTAACTTTCAGCTTCTTTTTCTTCAGTTTCTTTTGAAGGGAATTCTCCTATAACCAGATTGTATAGCCTAGTTTAAAGCAAAAAAAAAAAAAAAAAAAAAAAAAAAAAAAAAAAAAAAAAAAAAAAAAAAACTCTACATACAGAACTCTGTGTGTGTGTGTGTGTGTGTGTGTGTGTGTGTGTGTGTGTGTGTGTGTGTGTGTGTGTGTGTGTTTTTAACTTACCTTCAGAATAATCGGTTGTAGATGGCTCCTACTTTTCTGTTCTTCCTCCAGAGGGCACTGTGCTTGGCCAACGTCTGTGTTACTGGCTTTAAATCTGCAGATACCAACACCTTTATTACATACTGCAAAAAATGCCACCTTAGCAAGTGAAATGATCTTGAATATAGTCGCACTTCTATATTCTAGTATTTTACTATTATAAGATTTCAATAAACCCAAAATAAGATTATTATACCTATTTCTGGACAATTATTTTACTAATTTCAAGCTATAATAATTTGTAATTTTATATAATTAGAGAATTTTGCTTTTGTTTTTTAAAGAACCAAATGCTAAAAATTAGCAAAATTATCTGCCAATTGAACAAGGCTCCTTAAAATAAGTAGCCCTGTGGCTTAGTTAGTTAAAGTGCCTGTCTAGGAAATAGGAGCGCTTGGGTTCAAATCCTAGCAATGCCTGTTATAAGACTCTTCTTGTTTCCAGTACCTTGGTGTTCATTTCACATAGGACCTGTTCTGATCTTGTCACATTAACACCCTGGTGAAGCAGGCTTGTCAGTGTTTTCACCACCTTAGATACTTAAAGGTCTTTAAACTGCTCTCTGAGGTGCTAAGGAACTTTTACACCTTCCCGATGGGAAGCATCACAGCCTTTGGGAACAGCCCCAAGCAGAAAAATCGGGCTCTCCAGAGGGTGGTGCGATCAGCTGAGTGTATCATCTACACTGGGCTCCCTGACCTGCAGTCTATCTACAGCAAGTGGTGCTGGACCAAGGCCAGGAAGATAGTGAAGGGCCTCAGCCATCCAAACAATGGACTCTTCTCTCCGTTGTGGTCAGGAAAGCGCTTCCGCTCCCTGAAGGCCAACAAAGAGAGAATGAGGAAGAGCTTCTTCCCACAGGCCTCTCGGGCCCTGAACCAGGGAAACACCTAGAACTAGACCTTGGATTTGTTTGCACTACACCCGCACCCCCTACATTCCTGATAATATACCCGTGCTACCCTCTACCTCAGTATCTCATTGCACATACAACTGCATACATCTGCACTTTATTCCAAATATAGTCCATACTGTTGCTGCTATCTATCTTTCATATACTTTATATCATATTTTTATAGTTTTCCTTTTCTACTTGTATACGGTTTACGTAAATTCTATTTTTATGTCACAGACAGTCGTCAAGAGCATTTCACTGCACGTCATACTGTGTATGGCTGTGTGTGTGATCAGTAAAATTTGAATTTGAGAGCATCTTTAAACACAAAAGGCACCTTTGAACTTTGTTTTTCTTCTGACTTTTTTCTGCCTTCCCTTTCCTTTCTCTCTCCTCTAGTCCTGGTTGCCTTCCACCATCTCTGGCTACACGGGCACAGAGATCTGGGTAGTCGAGGCACACAGCCCGTAGTAACCACCTGAGGCCTCGCAATGTCTTCCTGTCTGACCATCGACGCAGGTCCATTAAGGCAGAGCATGGCTCCTTTTATGGGACAAAAACTTTATTATTCATACATTTGCTCATGCAATGTAAATAATAAAAAGCCCCAAATTAGGTATATTATATCAGTATATAAAATATCATTACAGGTATTACTCGAGAGATATTTGGATTTCTGGCCACATACTGCATTTTGTCATAACCCAGTACGTTACTCACAATGTGGCACAGAGACCGGCTCTGATTGACCAGCTTCTCCAGGGACAGGACCTCAATCAGTTCACTTCCCAGTAAGGCATTCATTTTGTCTTGTTTATTGGCTAATCTGTAAAGAAGAACAGTCTGCGGAAATGATTTCCTTTGCATGCAGAGGAAACCACTTATACCATTAATTTTAAGAATCATTTTAAAGAGCATTTAAACATATAAAGGGTATCTAAATGAAGGCTTACACTAACAGGGGCTTTCCAGCCACTCTAGGCTGTCTCAGCATGTCTACCAGAAGCTCTTTGACCTCTTTCATTCTGTGTCTATCACTGGAGTCCACCACAAAAATGACTCCATGGGCCTCGCCATAGTATTCTCTCCAGCATGAGCGAAACTCAGGACTTCCACCCAAGTCCAGCAAATTCACCAGGAAGTTTTCCGACCTTAACTCATAGCGGACACATCCATGAGTAGGACTCACTTCTCCATGGGGAGCTAAACAAATGGTAGGTTTAGAAAATATTGTAAACTCCATCAATATTTATAGACAGTAAGCTAATATAGATGGTTCGATATGAGATATTTACCTCTTAACATCCCTCTGATGCACAACGTCTTTCCAACCTTGTCAAGACCAACCACTATCACAGTAACTTTCCTGAAGAAACAGAAGAAGTGCACATTACCAGTCCATCTCGCTAATTCCTGGCTAGTATTAAACAATCTACATTTATTAATTTTGGCATTATAACTGAACTAAGCAGCTCTCTGGCTTAACAGTAGCAGCTTGGCAGTGACAGTGTCAGAGTTTTTTACTGTTTTACTCTCTAGTGTGTTTCTAACGAGCCCAACACCAGTGCAAATAATACAGAGTACTGTGATTATATCTGCTAGCATTTACCTCATGGGTTGCTGCAGTTTGGAAACCCAGTTGCAGCAGTTGCTCATCAAATTGAACATATTGAGCTGAGGAGGAGAGCACCATCTTCTTCGTGATTCAAACCTGCATACAGATTGTAGCATAGGTTTCACCAAGAGTGAAGCTGTCTACTGGGCTGTTGGCCAACTCTTAGAGCTGTCTCAAACTTTAAACTGATTTGTGCCATTATAAATAGATTTAGCCTTAGATTTCTAGGCTAAGTTCTAAGGCTAAACTACCAATATACATTTCTATATAGTTAATAGAATTTTGCCTCACTACTTAAGGACTATCTTAATATCCACATGCTGCGATACCTTTAAGTGCAATAAGCAGTCTTCAAGCTATATGCAAAACTTGCAGTAACACAGAAGTAAAGTAGCACAATACGTGAGACAAGCACATTCAATTTTACTGCAAGGTTTTGTTAAAAATGCCAATTTACTTACAGAAATATGTCCTTATTTATTTGCATGTTTATGTTTTCCTCGTCTGTGGCATTGTGCACAGTGCAGGGAAATCCTAATCTGGCTCAAATTATGCCTCTAATCCTGTCTCCTCATCTGGGAGGAGCCAGGTAAGCTTACGCTTCTTACTAATCACATGAGCTTCAGGGACATCTGCTCTCCTTATTGGCAGGTAATGGTTTGTTTATCTGGCCCAAATAGAGATTCACTTATGTGTGAATCATTCAGTGACAAAACGTGTTTCATGCTTTTCAATTCACTTACAGTAATTATAGATTATATGATAGCAGGTTATTACCATTATTGCGGTATGGCACTGTTGATAAAGGCAGTGTAAAACCAGGTAGGAGAAACTGACTGGAAATCCTGGCATGGTGCCTGGTGTATGCAAGCACATGCCAACAATGTTAATCATGTGTGTGTTCATTTCCTTTTCCTGACACCATAGAAGGTTTGGCCTATAAATAACTACTTTACTGATGAGCTCTTTCAGGAAATAAACCAAATAATACCAAAATACACATCTATTTGGGAGGGTGAGGCAGGGTGGTTTAGTGGTTAGCATGTTTGCTTTGCCTCGCACCTCCAGGCTTCCTCCTCCCCTAGTCCAAAGACATGCACTGTAGGCTGACTGGCATCTCTAAATTGTCTGTAGTGTGTGAATGGGTGTGTCAGTGTGTGTGCGATTGGGCCCTGCGATGAGTTGGCACTGTGTCCAGGGCACCCCGGCCTTGTGCCCTAAGTCCCCTGGGGTAGACTCCAGGCTCCCTGCGACCCTGTGTAGGATAAGCAGTACAGAGAATGGATGGCTGTCTATTGTGGTGTGCTTGTCTATTATTGAACCAAGCTGTGTGATGTTCTGTGCATTTATTTCTGAAGATGTTTGGGGCATGCATATAAATACCAGCACTTCCCCCAGTCCTCGTGTTACATCGCACCAATCCTAACCTCCAGGGGGAGTGAGAATTACCTGGATATGTAGTTGTGCCCCCTTCCAACAATGTCACAAAGTGATGGATGACACAGTATTTGCAGTAAATACTGCTGTCATACAGCCATCTGCTTCTTCTTCTCACGTTGTGCACGTCAGCTTAGTAGCGGCAGTCAGAGCTAGCTTTAAACTGTTCCCCAAAGCTCTCCTCTAATCTCTATTGCCGAGATGAGTATACTGTATTTTTTATACATCGTGTTTATCTAGTGATATGCTATGGAACTTTGTGGTATCCACCAGCTTCAAGCTGGCGTTCCCTTTTTAGCAATGCCGACCTACAAACTATCACTACAAACTTTCTCTGTGTTGTTGATCAGTAGCAGCATTAACCTCTCATTCTCCCCACCAAGTCGAGTTCTCCCCTGCAGGTATTTCACATCCCCCACCATCTAGCCAATGAGCGGGCTTGTGACTGTGTGCCACTAGTGTGGTTTACTATTTTTTTCCAGCCATGACCTCTGCTTTTACTACTAAGATTTGGCTGGACTCTGCATGTATGCAATATTGGGGCTGGAGTCATCCCTCCATTCACCGCTACAGCCGAGCAATACAGAACTTATAGTTGCTTATCAGAAGATAGTATGATCTTAAATAGGATTCCTAAGAGTGATTGGTGCTATAGATTGTGCACCAGTCCTAAGGCTATTCACTATATGACTGTTTAGGTATAACTGCCTGTCCACTGATACATGTAGGCAGGGGTGGACTTACACTATTGTTGGGGTCCATGACGTGAAACTACAACTGCTCCAACCAAAAAGAAACCAATGCTGCTATGACACAAAACAGTAACTACTGTAACATATATTCTACTGTAACATACTTTCAGGCTCGTGATTTTTCATTTCCATACATGATTTTTCATTCTTTTTGGCTGTTTTACAAAATGTAGGCACAGAGACATCCGCCAGGATTTCCCAGACCACCATACATATCAGTAGCATTTAAATTCATAAACATCATGTAGCTGCATAGTTAAGCTAGTTATCGTAAGTGCTACTGTTGGATGGTCTTTCCTTACCTGAGAGTTGTGAAGAAATTCCTCCAGGAAGAATCGATATTTATTCAGGTTGAGGTCTTGCAAGCTGAGGACTCTGCATTATTCCTGAACTTTGGAATGAGCAAAAAATCAAAAACTCTGTCCATGGTAAGGTGAATTGATAAGGATGCTCTATGATTGACATAAAGAGTGACATTTCCACTCGTCCCTTCCACACAGACGGCATGGCTAGTTTTGGAGTCTCTTGGACTCCTGCTCATGGATGGCTAAGACGTTTTCAGGATTCGAACTCACAATCGTCTGGGTGAATACCTTTCTGTTGCAAAAGGCCCTTGTGAAAAACAATTAGTTTTTGCATAAAACAGTTAGTTGGCTGCATACAGGTTATAAGAGACAAAATCGCTGCACGTCAGCTAAGCCAAGGAGAAACAGCAGTCCC